CTTTATGCTTTCGAATGCATGAAACCTGTGATCTATAATGAGCACAATGAGACTTGTCATGGAAAAATGCTGCTCACTGAGTGAAAAAAGAGGGTGTTGATCTTGCCAGAGGCACTGGATCCTGGCTTGAGAAACGGGGGGAAAAACCCTAGGTTGAGTCGACTATTCGACTTTAAGTAATGTGTACTTACTAGATTGTTGATGTTCAAGTTGTGCGTCCTGGGTTTCGTTACCCGAGTAGGATCTCTTTTGGATTAAATAATAATGAATTTGAACAGGATGTTAGTTTTATTGGGGGAAATTGATAATTTTCTCGTTTTTTTTTTTTCGTTTTTTCCAGAAGATGACCGAATGAAAGGGATGACAGCTGATGGCTGTCATAAGAACGTCACATTTAAATTTCAAAGTTCAAAAGGTGTTTTCTTATTCCCGGCAAGACGACAGCATAAGTTTTCATAAAATAATCATATCTCTTGCTCAATATTTCCTGTTCAACCAGAAAGAAAGTTATGTTACATGTTTTCAGGCTCAATTCAACCCAAAAAACAATGTACCCTTAGCAAGATTCTAACAAATTGCCATCTAACTCTTGTTATTCAAAAGTGAGTTGACCTTGATTACAGAAACCATTGTGAAAATAAAATTAACACATCTTACAAAGTATGGTTGAAGCACTCACCGCCAGGTATCTCTACCCGCATCAACAACGCCAATTACTCGAATTAAGCTTGGCAAGTTCCTAAACTCACCCCATCATGCCATGGTAATTTACATAAAGAATTGTGAAGAAGACTGAGAGTTGTTTTACTTCTTGACAATCTTAATTTTTTGACTAGTTTTATACGCTCAATTTTATTCCATTGTTCTTCCGCGTTCATGCCACGATCGCCTACGTTTGAAGCTTTGACAATCCGTTTCTTCGCCGTGCACCGACCTTCTCTTATGTCAAAGCTAATTTCCCTATATATGCTAAGGACGTGTTCCTTAATTGTCCGCACGAATCTACTACAACGCATTCGTTTTCCGGAAGTGACGCTAAGTTAGCCTTGTTTAAAGTGCACTTCGACGGAGGCGTTACTATAACGTTCGCACGAATCGTCGGAAATTATGTTTGACCACATAGGTAAATATGTCAAATATTTTTTTAAAACGGTATTTCCTACTTCCGGTTGATAGAAAGGATTTCTATCTTCTATCGCTATTACGATATCTCCACTACCTAGTTGAGCATCAAGGGTTATCCTAAAATGCTGATTAAAAAAAAACGATTTTTCGTACAAGGTTTTCATTTTTTCCGCCACGTGGCGATCACTCGGGGTATTGTCTATTAAAGTGAAATCTTTTTTCCCTCGTATTCCCCCCCCCCACGTTCGACGTCAGCGTGGAAAGTTGAAAATTTTTATCAGCCGCGAAAACTAATCATCGACCGATTGGAGATCTTTAATCATGAAAACTTTCATTATCATGTTTTTATAAAATATTTTTTTTTTGGCGGTCGTTTCCACTAATCTTATTAAAAACTGTTAGCTAATCGCCGATCATGAATTCGTTGTGGTTAGCGCTAATTAATTCCAAAATAGGAAAAATTATTTGTTTTTCCTTCACCCAAACTACCCCGGCGAAGTATAATATTCTTTTGCACGGTGCACAATGAGATGGTTCTTGAACTAATTGTCCGGTTTCATCTAGTTGCAATGTTACGCCATTTGAAGCTTTCAATTTTCCGATAACTTCCAACTGTTCGCGACTGAAGAGATAAACCGCTATTGTCTCAAACACCCTGAAAATATACCTAGGCATTGTCCCTACTCATAAGCATTAAATCGTAAATTTCATCGTTATGGCGATCTAGCTCAGAGATTTTTCCCGATTCAATCATCCTGAAAACTTACTGCGATTTATTTTTCGTTGGTTGCCATTAACTAATTGCGTAACCGCGGTGTTCCTAATCACTTTCGCACGATACGTACTTCTATGGCGTGGAAGCTTTTAACAAATCCCCTACAATTTGTCTTTCCGTTTTACGAACGTATGTTGTAAACTTTTCCCCTTCCGCGTGACAATAGTTCCGGGTGGAACTGAAAACGTACCCTTCTACTTCATTTCATGATTTATTTAATTTAATTCCAAAATTTTCACAATTTGCATCCGCGCAATAAGCATATATTGCGTAATTAACTAAGGTTTTATTAAAGGAAGATTTTTTATAATTTAACACGCACGTATTATTTACAAATTCTACCTTCCTTTTGATTATTATGTGATAATCTACTAATTTATTGCCTAAACTCAAACTCAAAATCTATTTATTTAAATGAATTACATTCGTATGTAAACACTTAAAGCTACCGGGCTGGTGCCCCTTAACTAAAAATATTTTCAACAATTACTTAACCTAGGACAGAGACTACTTAAGACTAAACTGCAGCGTGACGCAGCACGTTGTGCACACTTGCACGCCTAGCATGCATTGCGCGACCTTTAGTCCCGGTCGATGTTGTTGACCATTTAAACCCCTGTACCTATTTTTGTTTGAAGCTTTCTTCGACGCTTCCTGGTTGCCCTTTAGCGTCGATTTTATAACCTTAAAATCGATGGTGAATACCATGAATGGCGTGCATTAGGTCACTACAGTGGCGTGTCTGAGGATGTGGGTGGTGTGCTCAGATTTGGGGTTGCAGAGCGCCAACGCCCTTCTGCGGGGAAAAAGCATCGAAAAACCCCGCTTTTCAATAATTTAATGAACAAAAAAGCAAAAAAGTTGTGCCCTTTTGGGCGATTTGGTCCACTGGACGCGGTCTCACTAACATTAAGTCAGCTTTGAGGATGTGTGCGCGTGAGCGCGGGTTTGAATTAAAGGGGTTCTACAACCCTGCACCCTGACCAATCCTGAGGCCTGAGGAGCCTCTAGGTAATCTACGAAATCACTTGGATAATTTAAATCTAAATTAAAGTTATTTCCCGTAGACGTTAGTGCAAACGCATGCTTAACGTCGTCAGAATTTTTTTGATTAGGGGCCGAGGCATTATCTTCAACTGAAATTTCGATTTCATTTTTGAGATCATGAGCTGGGCTTCTTTGCATTTTTACAGGAGATACCTTAAAATCACCAGATTTGATTCGGAAGAATTTTCTGAGGCATTGTCGTCTCCTAGAAAAGACTTCAAAGAATTTTTGTGCGTAAATTTCTATAAACCGATATGGAGACCTTTTCGGATACTACCTACTTAACAGGTTCTTGTTCCGTTTTAGCCTTTTTCAAAAGGTTTTCCGAATCGCCAGAATAAAGAGATGACCGTCTCTTTCTCTGTTTCTTTCATTGTTCTTCTGTATTCATGCCACAATCGCAAGCTTTGACAATTCGTTTCTTCGCCGTGCACCGACCTTTTCTTATGTCAAAGCTAATTTTTCTATATATGCTAAGGACGTGTTTCCTAATTGTCCGCATGAATCTAACACAACGCATTCGTTTTCCGGGAATAACCCTATGTTAGCCTTGTTTAAAGTGCCCTTTGACAGGGGCGTTACTTTAACCTTCGCACGAATCTTCGGGAATTATGTTTGACCACATAGGTAGATATGTCAAATATTTTTTTTTTAAATTGTATTTCCTACTTTCGCTTGATAGAAAGGATTTCTATCTTCAATCGCTATTACATCTCCACTTCCACCTTCAGCATCAAGGGTTATCTTAAAATGCTGATGAAAAAACATTTTTTCGTACAAGGTTTTCATTTTTTCCGCCACGTCGCGATCACCCGGCGTATTGTCTATTAAAGTGAAATCTTCTTCCGCTTGTACTTCCGTTATATTTCCTAATTCTTAAATATAAGTTTCCACGTCTAACTTCAGCGTGGGGGAGTTGCAACTAATTATTTGCCGCGAAACCCAATCATCGACCGATTGGAGATCTTTCATTATCATGTTTTTATAAAATATATTTTTTTTGGTTATCGTTCCCGCAAATCCTATTAGAGAGTTCTCGTGCTGTCCAAATTTGAAATACCGTAACGTTATTTGACCAGTATGACAGTTCTTACGGTATTAGCGTTAGCGGAGCCCGCTACCTAACGGGACTTAACGGATGCCTTACCGTAACGCTATGGTATGTAAAAATTTGTTAACGCTTCATTTACGTTTAAAAAAACAGCAACTTCCAATAATTTCTCCATAAAAAACAGCAAAGGAAAATTAATGAAACTCCGGAATTTTCAGGATAAATAAAAGTTGGTAAACAAGCAAAAAAAGTTGGGTTAGATAACTCAATTCAGCTGTCAAAATGTAAACAGAATACGGGATCAGAGGATTTTTGTGTCTTTGTGCCCGAGAACTATAAAATACCATTTGAAATACCGTATTGTTAGCGGTACCGTATTAGCGTAGCGTCTGAGGCACGAGAACTTTCTATTATTATCATTTGCGATAATTTTGACGAAGTGGCAAAAGCAAATTTTTATCAACGCTATCAGCATCTTTGCATCACGGTAGACAATATTATTAAATAGATTTGAAAGCTGTTAGATAATCGCCGATTATGAACTCGTTGTGGCTAGCGCTAATTGATTCTAAAATAGGAAAAATAATTTGCTTTTCCCTCATCCAAACTACTCTGACGTAGTATAATATTCTTCTGCACGGTGCACAATTAGATGGTTCTCGAACCAATTCTGCCATGCTAAGCTGAAAGGTCCTAACTGAATAAATTAAAGTTTTGAGATATTTACGTTTCAGTTTTTTTCTTTATGCCACCCATAAGACTTTATTGAAATTAACCAAGATTTCGGGTGAAGTTTGAAAATTGGCGGACAATTTCATTATTCCTTTAACTAGTTAGTTACCTCAAGCAGATATTTGACTTTTGTTAGATAAGACACTGTTCTTTAGTAAAATTTGAAAAAATTCGTTTAAGATACAGATAGGACAAAAAAACATATGGTTTAAATTGTTATTTATTCGATACACTAAGTACAAAAACAATAACATAAACGGAACAGAATATTTATTCAGAATCATCATCATCGTCATTGGGTGGATTATCGTTAACATCTAGCTCCTGCCAAAATTGAAGACGGGTTTTTGGAATTATTGGTGCAAGGGTAGATATTAAGGTGTTTCTTCGAGTTGCATCTACCCCATGGTTTCTTTCTCTAGAATTTGCCATTGGAATACCTGTCTTTACAACTTTATTATTGAGGAAATTTAACGATTTGAACTCCTCTTCATCAAAACCAGTTTTATATTGAAAGTTTCCTTCATTTCTTGTGAAAACTGCCATTGTCAGATTTTTGAAATAAAATTTCTCTTTCTTAAGTTTGAATTTGGATGAAAAATCTTTCCAATCAAAAAAATTTGTCAAATTCATTTTTATTACATCAGTTTTGCCACCGTTTGCAGATGCCACACATGACACAAAATCATCAAAATCCCATATTGTTTTATGTTGTTTCATCGCTAGTTCCACCTGGTGATGGAAATGATCTGCTGACATAAACGAATGTCCAGGTTCGAAATATTTAATTATTAGAGTTTTCAAAGCAACTTCCTTGCAGCTAACAACGTATACGAAAAAACAAAACAGTGCCCAGTTTTTATTTTGGGCGGAGCAGTTATCCATCCAAATAGTTACATTCTCTTTGTCTCGATTTTTTAAAAAAAAAGCGTAATAAGTCGAAATTATGTCTTCTTTACTACGTTTAGCGATGCCTTCGTGCCATAAGACTCCTAGAGGTTTTACTTTTTTTCCCTTACCGGTGGGCACAAAGCTTTCATTGAAAACTGTAATTCGTGGTACGAAAATCACTTCCTTGAACATCTCTGCTCTTGGCAACATAATTACCTTCTCTAAATCTACCGAAACTATTAATTCGCTTTCAGTTTCTATTTTATTGGCATCTTCCTCATATTCTTTTCGTGCGTTGGTGTACTTAGTTTTATGGTCACGATATTTACAGCATACATCACAGTTTATGTAACTAAACGGATCGTCATGGTTTTTCTCGCTTTTGTGGAGTTTGAACGCCGTGCATGTGAAGCATTCTTCACACCCCAACTGGGCGAACGAAATATTCATTGCAGCCACTTCTTTACGGTATAATTCATAACTTCCAGTAAAATCCGGGTTTTTCAATTTGAAGTCCTTGAACATCATGGCAATATTTATATCAGAGGGTAAATATAAACGCTTCGGAGCGTGCTCTCTTCTGTAATGTGATATATTTGGTTGAAAACTTTTGATATGATCTATAATTGGATTTTTATCAATTTTGTTTTTAGCAGGCCGGTGCCCTCTTTTTTCAGCTGCAGGAGTAATACTGGTTTTTAAATTGACTCTAATATTTTTCAGAAAACGATCATTTTTTGTGTATCCTAGTGTTAAAAGAAAAAACACTTTGCAAACATTCACCTCAATTCCTTCAGAGTCCGTTAAAAAATATTTATACGTATTCTGACGACGAGAATTAGGTCCTGCAAGAGTCGTGCATCTTCCCTTACTGATTTGTCTTGCACAGCCACCAACAAACAATCGCTGCTCTTGTTTATTAAGGGTCCAGTACTGTCTATTAATAACTTCTTGGCGAGTTGCATCAATGGATCTTGAGCAATTGCGTTTACAAGTTCTAGAATTGCATGTTCCTTTAACCTTATGCTGAGATGATTGACATGTTAATTTACGTTTTTTCCGTTCACTGGCAGGTATATCAAAGCTTTGTCGCTTACGAGGATTTCCTGTCTTGGTAAATGATTTATAAAAAATTTTTTCAACACAGTCGAGCGACAAATTCACAATATCATCAACAATATTCTTAACCATGTTGAAGTTTGACTGGGAATCAATTTCGCTTTCGGCTTGCAGCTCTGTGAAACTCAAGCTACCAGAATCAGCTGTTACATGTCGATCCAGACGCGGAATTTTCACACTTTGTTGATTAGGTGAGGCTTCACTATCATTATTATCGTCATCAGCAAAAGACAAAGAACATTCTGAGGAGGAAGAACCGTTTTCATTTTCTGGACTATAATCAGGATCTTGTTGAAGGCAGATATTTGTATTATTTTGCTTTCGTTTTCGCGCTTCTGCTTTTTGTATTACCTTATTATTCATTATTTGTTTGTTCAAGGCCAGCATAACCATATATTTACTTCGATTGCTCGCCATTCTGGAACAATAACAATAGTAATAAGAATATCTTAATTGAAAAGGTTGTTTTACTAGACCTTCACACTAATTTCAGAATTTTTGTCCAAATTTAATACGAAATCTACATATATATTTTTGGATAGATGTAGTATATAATTTCACTATAATAAATATTTGGTACCTTTTAATTATTTTCATATAAATAATTTTGCTCTTAAGTAAGTAGGTACATTTAGATACTAAATACACTTACCTATTAATTATAATAATTATTACTAACAGCAACACAATATATTTATTTGGCGGACTTGTTATTAATCACTTCAATTACGGAAAAATCGGAGGTAACATTTCACAAGATACTACACGATTTTGTAGGTTATGTGCTCTACAAAATATTTCCAAGGAATTACTAACCTTATTTGTCCAATCAGCCAGATAGGACGTTTTGCTTTGTAATTTCAGATAAAAATAATAGGCCTATACAAAAGAAATTGTCCTATATGTTCAGTTAGGACAAAATTGGGTTTGGAATGTTAGTTGGGACAGAATGTCTTAGTATTTAGTATGATTTGGTAGATAGGACACAACTAAATACCCATTGCGGAGGTCCATAAAATAAGATAGGACGATTTTGCTTTGTAAATTAGTTGCAGAAACACTTTAGGTACCCAAATATGCACTTAGGCCAAAATCTGAAATTTTGTCAGATAGGACGTTTCAGCTTAGCACGGCAGAATTGTCCTGCTGCATCTAGTTCAATGTTACGCCATTTGAAGCTTTCAATTTTCCGATAACTTCTAGCTGTTCGCGACTGAAGAGATAAACCGCTAATGGCTCAAACACCCTAAAAATATACGAATCGGCCCTACTCATAGGCATCAAATCCTGTAGAAGGAGGTGAGTCCTTTCCTATCCCTACTAGTCAAATATCGCCCGAAACTTGACGAAACCCGACTAAACGATTGCAACGGACTCAGGGATTTTGATGTAATATTTCTACTTTCTTTCAGATTGTGTCGTGTTTGAACCAGGTTTCGGAATGCGGAGTAAAATTTCAATATTTAAATAATAATTGACTTCCAAAATCTAGTCTATAGCTGAGCATCAGCTGTGAGAAAAGTGGACTGTATTTTGCGGTTTCAAAATTACGGGTACAATTGAGATCTTACCTAATCCAAATCCAGTTACAGCTGCGAGTTGCGGAGTTGCGATTGAACTTGATCGATCACAGTTCGCGAATATCACGGCCGGCCGACAAGTTATTTGCGGTAAGGTTGAGTGCGACTAAATTGGTCGAGTACGGAGAGCTTCTAAGCGCGACCATTTCCAAAAATGCACTGGTTTTTAATTTCCGACGCGATACGTCGAAGTGTCGTATGATTCTTCTACGCATATATGAGGGCAATGCGTTAAGTAGATAAAGACCTCAAATATTCAAGAACGCGAAAATAATCTGAAGGGTGAATCGCGGATTAAAAGTTTACTCCAAATTTAAAGTATGTACTTCAATAAATAATTGGCAAAATAAACAAAACAAAAATAATTCAATGAAGGACAATCTTAACAATTTAATACAAATAACTTAAAACTATTGAATGGACGAAACATTCCGCCCACCAAAATTGCAATGCAATTTTTAATTAATAAAGTGGCAAAGGACAAAGCTTTACCACCGGACGCTTGAGCAGTCCGTTAGAGGTTTGCACGGTGGCAACCCTGACAACCCCGTCTAACCCTGGATGTACCTGCGTCACTCTGGCCAGATGCCATTTCATTGGCGGCGCTAACTCATTTTTAATTAAAACTAACGTTCCAACTTCCAAGGAAGCGGTCACTTTATGCCATTTAGTTCGTTGATGTAGAGTATGAAGATACTCCTTCGACCATCTGGACCAAAAGTCTTGATGGATCCTTTGAAGAAGTTGCCAACGATCCAAACGTGATATTGGGACAGAAGTAACGTCAGGTTCAGGCAGAGAAGCTAAAGGCTGCATGGTCAAAAAATGACCAGGAGTGAGAGCAGTTAAATCATTTGGGTCGTTACTGATGGGGGTGATGGGCCTTGAATTCAAAAAGGCTTCAATCTGAATGAATATGGTATTCAATTCTTCGTAAGTCAATATTTGAGCTCCTATGACACGATACAAGTGAGTTTTGACAGATTTAACCCCAGCCTCCCACAAACCTCCAAAATGAGGAGCTGAGGGGGGATTAAAATGCCAAATGACTGCTTCCTGCGAAGCAGCTTTCTGGACGTAGCTGTCCAATTGTCTGCGGGCACTTACGAAATTAGTGCCACAATCACTATATAAATGCTGACAGCGACCACGGCGAGCTATGAATCGACGGAGTGCGGCTAAAAAAGCGTCGGCCGATAAATTAGATACAAGCTCCAGGTGAAGAGCCTTTGTGGAAAAGCAAACAAACAGACAAAGATATGCCTTGCTGGACTTACTTCCACGTAGTCTAGTCATGGTAACATTAAAAGGGCCAGCAAAATCAACCCCGGTGTGCAAGAAAGCTTTAGCTTGACTTAAGCGTGACAAGGGTAGATCACCCATAGGAGGTTGCAACGGTTGAGGTTTTTGCTTCCAACAAGTAAGACATTTACTTAAAATTTTGCGAATAACTCTCTTTGAAGACAAAATCCAGAACTGTTGTGAGAGCAAGAATTGAACAGTTTGAGCACCTGCATGAAAATATTTGAGGTGATAATGTTCGACAATTAAATTAGTGAGATGGTGCTTACTAGGCAAAATAATAGGAAAGTTGCGGTCAAATGGAATTGGAGCATGGCGAATCCTGCCACCAACTCTGAGAACTCCCTTACCGTCAAGAAAGGGGGTGAGAGTTTTAAGATATTTTGGGCAAAGGTTTTCACCTTTAATTTGAGAAATCTCATCAGCAAAGACTGAAGACTGAACATGCTTAACTAAAACCAAGAGGGCCTCATGCTTTTCTAAACACGATAAGAAGGTAAGTTTCCTTTGGTCGCGGTGTGCGCGAAGATTATGGATGAAACGTAATACATAAGTGAAAGAACGGTGTAGACGGGAAAAAGAAGAGAAATTGGACAAAAGTTTATCCAATAGAGGAGGGGTTTTATCGTCTGACATGGTTGTCAGGACTACGACGCGCTCTTCTTTCAATGCATCGGCTGATAAGGGATTATCGGAAATTTGATTCCAGGGTTGGGATCGATCTTTCAAAAAGGAAGGACCCGCCCACCATAAGGAACTGGCTAACAATTCTGAAGGTAGTAGGCCTCTGGAACCAACGTCAGCTGGGTTGTCGGCAGATGAGACATGATGCCAACAAGAAGGCATCACTCTTTCGTGGATGAAGCTTACTCTGTTGCTGACAAAAGTCTTCCACCGGTGTGGGGAGGACTTGATCCACGAAAGTGTAATGGTGGAATCAGACCATGCAGAAATGGAAAATTCAAAAGGGAGTTTGTCCTTATAGACATTAGTGACAAATTTCACGAGACGTGAAAGCAGAACGGCTGCACAAAGCTCCAATCGTGGAATAGATTGAACTTGCAGTGGGGCAACTTTTGACTTTCCACAAACGAAATGAGTGGTTATGTCACCATTATTGTGAACAAAAACGAAATATACGACTGCGGCATAACCCTTTTCGGAACTGTCACAGAAGGCATGCATTTCACAAGAATCAATATCAGTCGGAATGAGCAAACGTGGAAGTTTACACAAAGACAAACAAGAGATTTCTGATGTGTATTTATTCCAGGCACGAATAATTTCATTTGGAGGTGTTTGATCCCAACCGAGTTTCAAGGACCAGAGTCTTTGAATGAGGTGCTTAATGAAAAAGGTGACTGGGGACAAAATACCAAGTGGGTCAAAAATTTGTGCCATATTAGACAGCAAATTGCGTTTTGTACATGAAGTATTGATGTGTTTTACAGAAAATGAAAAACGATCAGAGGCAGGTAACCATTGTAAACCTAGGATCTTGAGGGGCGAATCTGAGACAGAATTGAATGAAATATTCTCATTGGAAAGATGAGAACTGGGCAAATCGGCCAATAAACTAGGCTCGTTGCTGCACCACTTACGCAACTCAAAACCTCCCTTTTGTAACATTGAAATTAGATCCTGTTGAAGCTTTTTTGCTTCGGAAATCGATGAAGCTCCGGACAAAATATCATCCACATAAGAATTGTCGGAAACTACAGAAGCGGCATGAGGAAAATTTGACTTTTCAATCTCGGCCAATGTTAAAAGAGATTTTATTGCTAAATAAGGAGCACTGGTTAGACCGTATGTGACGGTTAAAAGTCTGTACTCAGAAATAGGTTCACTAGTTGAAAAACGCCACAAAATACGTTGATAGTCGGCGTGCGGTGGAAAAATTCTGATTTGACGAAACATTTGGCGAACGTCAGCAGTAAATACTACGCGCTGAAGTCGGAATAATAATAATAATCCAAAAATGTCACTTTGAAGTTTGGGCCCAGGCAAAAGACACTCATTCAAGGAAGGTTGACCTGGCAACTTCGCAGATCCATTGAATACAACTCGTAATTTCGAGGTAGGATTGGATGATTTGAAAACACAATGATGCGGGATATAATAGGTTTTTTGCGGTGACGGAACATCAATCGGAACAAGTTCCATATGACTGCAGTCAAGATAATCTTGCATAAAGGCAGAATATTCCTTATATAGACAGGAATTTTTCAGAAGTCGACGCTCTAAAGATAAAAAGTTTCGCATAGCAAGACTTCTACTATTGGGAAAAATTGGTTCGACAGTGCGAAAGGGCAATGAAACGACAAATCGGCCAGTTTCATCCCTTGAGGTAGTTTTCAAGAATATGAATTCACAAAGCTCATCCTCTGGAGCCAAAGTTTTGACAGAAGGCACCTCTTCAACTTCCCAAAAGCGGTGTATCATCTTCTCAAGCGACGGTGAATCGGTGCATAGAAAAGTTTTGGAAGTAAAAGGTTGATTGGTTGAGCTGCA